TCCTTCAAAGCAGCCTGAACTACTTCTTTCATCACCATAGGCTCTTGCTCATATGTTGTTTCATGAAATTCTTCTGTGTCTTCCAATTCCTTTCAATACAGTGACTCAGTATACTCCTTCCATCTTCTTTTAATACTTCCAGCATAGTAGATCCAATTAAAATGTCCCATGCCAATCCATTTCATTTCATCAATGCCAAGTATGTCAATATTAATGTGTTCCTTTTCTTCCATTATTAACAAGCTCCAATTTTCCTACATTCATACTTCTCACACTCAACTTTCAAATCACTAGGGTCTGTTTGCAACAGTTCCTTTTCTTTTGTGATTCCCAATATGAAGGCTCAGCCTCAGGTACCATATCTGATCTGTTGTACACAGGGTTTTTTGATGGTCTGTTATTTCAGAAGTGGATGGCCAATCCTTCTCCCTAGTCTGTCTTAATTTGGGTGTTTGGCTTTAGAGCAGTGTTCGACAGACAGGCATTTTACCCAGAAAAGCTGATGAGAGTTTGCAGGTAACAGATTATGTGCTGGTCCCAGGGGTCCACACCTTCTGTGAATATATTGTGCTCTGACCCTCACCCCACCCTGCCAGCGTCCAACTCATTTCTCTCTCCTTACCCCTTTTGCATCCCCTGCCCCCAGCTAGCTCTGATTTGATGGCTCAGGCCTCCTACCACTTCTATCCTCCCATTTCCTTCTCCACTCCCCTGTGATATTGGTGCTCCTGGCGCAGGGGTGGTGGGGCAGTGTCCACACAGCAGGCTGATATCCATGTGCCTTGACTATTTTAGGAGCTTCTTTCTTTGCTGATTTCTTGCCACAGATCCATTTCCTCTTTAACTATCCTATACTGTATCATTGTCTTCATCTTCCTTAAATAGCATATTACCATGTCAGTCATTCTTTTGCTCAAAAACCTTCAGTTATTTCTGATTACTTTTCAATAGGTGTTTATAGTGACCATACATACAAAAGAACAAAATACTTTGTAGCCCTGCGCCGTCTTTGTCGGTATGTTTGAGCCCATTGTTGCAGCATTTGTGCCAGACCATGTTGATGAGGCTTTTTGTTTTGTTCCACTTACACCAAGCATGATGTCTGTCCTTCCCTAGTGCTTACTTAATGTTTACTGTGTACTGAGTATTATGCGCCTATCTATTTCTCTTACTCTCTGTTACAACTCAGTGAAAAATGGTTTGACTGTTCTAATTTTAAGGAAATTATGGTGCAAAGAATAGTCCCTGGGAGACACAAACTACTAGCTACTAGTTGAAAGGTTGGTATCTCTTACCCATCTAGAGGCACCTTCGAAGGCAGGCCTAGGGATGTGCTTCTGAACGGTCTGCTTTGCACACGTGTGGCCACCAGGAGTCAGTCAGGTCAGTGGCAGCAACAGTAACAACAACGTGGTTGCAAGGACTTTATTTATTTATTTTTAAATTTTTTTTTATTATTTTGTGTGTGTACCATCAAATCGGATCTGACTGGTACAGGAGGAGATTGCCCCTCCTCCGACAGGGCATCTGGTAGATTCGAACCACATATCTCTGGGATTGCAGTGCAGCTTCTTGCCACTAGGCCATCAGAGCTCCCCTGTGGTTGCAAGGACTTTAAAAGTTGACCAGTGACACACAGGCAGTTTTGAACTCAGATCTGTCTGACTCTTAAAACTCAATGTGAAGGATTTTGGTTGAGAAGATGGGGCTTTGGTTTCAAATCTCATTTGAAAGTCATTTAACAGTGAATAAAGTACCTACTTCATAGCATTATTATTATTATATGTATTAAGTGTGATGAAGTATAAACCATTTAGTGGCACATGCTTATTTTTTTATAAATATCAACTTATTACCATTACTTTTTCCTATCTCCAAACACTGCTCTTCTGTCTTTTGGGGTGCCCTAGTATGCATTCCACATTCACTCACTTACTTTTAAGATAATGTTGTGTGCTGATTTCACAGCTTAAAATACCTTTTCTTCCCTCTTGTCTGAATCATTCTCTATTCCTAAGAACCAGCTCCTATCCAACCTCTACGAAGTCCTTACAGTATTTTCTCTTCCTTTAAAGACTTACTTGATATTTCATAATTTACAGATTTGGCTTGTGCTTTTCACTTCTACTTTTTCCCAAATTAGATTGTAAGCATTATGAAGGTAGAAGCTGTTGTTAGTAGTAAGCATTAAGTATACATTTCCTGATTAATTGTTTGTTCATTGTATACTTTGAAAGATAGCAGGGTTTCATTCTGTTGTACATGAGTTACTATGATTTGAAACTGACTTGACCTTAACGACACCTAACAACAACAGATCCATAGTCTTTAGGAGAATAGGCCTGGAGTTGAATAGCTAAGTCAAATCCTGCCTCTGTCACTAGCTATGATCTTGGGCAACTCGTTTAGCCTCTCAGATCTCAGTATCTCCAATAAAATGGGAAAACAATAGTACCTCTGGTGGCTTGTTGTTGCGAAGTGCCATCAAGTTGAGTATGACTTGTATGGACTTATATGAACAACTGACCTGAACACTGTTCTATTATATGCCATCCTTATAATTTCTGACACACTCAATGCCATGGCTGCACTCAACTGGTCAACCCACCTCGTCAGATGTTGCAAACCAGATGCAGAAAGGAAGCAGGGACACAAGGAAATGAATTCTGAAAAAGAGGGAAAGCTGAGGCAGAGGTCCTCTCACAGGTTAGCTCTGGAAAAGGCCCCTTTCTCAGTCTCCCTATGGTTTTTATTTAGTTTAAGTCAATCCTCCTAAAAAATCCAATCTCCAGAGACTATATTTTCCTTATACTTAAGTGTTGCCAACATAACAATGGGTAAGCTTAATGTTTAAACTAAGACCAAAGTTCAGACACAGCATTCCCTACAGTGGGAGGCTGGGTGGAATTCTCTGTTTGCAGAGGGCATCCAGTTTCTCCTCCGGGGGACTGGTCGGTATTCTGTGTTTGTAGAGAGTGCTCAGTCCTGTCTGGACTCTGATCTAAGCTGCGGCTCAGTTATGGCTATGCTGGGGAATCCACAGTCAAGGGTCCTCCTCTCTTTTGCCACTTCTCCACCTTCTCAAGCATCATGTCCCTCTCTAAGGAATAACCTCTTTTAACAACATGCCTGGATTATGTCAGAAGAAGCTTCATCATCTTTGCCTCCAAGGAACACTCTTTCTTCAAGACATATCTGTTCTTTTTTGAGGGATATTCATTGCTTTTCTTCAGCACCACATTTCAAAGGCATCAATTCTTCTGTCATCCTTAGTCATTGTCCAGCTCTCAGATGCATAGCATGTGATTGAAAAAGGTCATGGCCTGAATCAGGTACACCTTAGTCCTCAGTCTGACATCATTACTCCTCAATAATTTGGATGTCCCTGACTACAGACTTTTCCCAACACAATACATCTCTCTCTCTCTCTTTTTTTTTTCTCTTTAACAATACATCTCTTGATCTCTTGATTGCTGGTACCAAATTTATTGATTGTGGATCCAAGTAAGATGAAGTTGTTAACTGTTTTCAATCCTTTCCCCATTTATCATGATGTTGCCTGTTGGTCCAGCAGTGAAGACTTTTGTTTATTTGTTTGTTTGTTTATTACATTTTATAAAGTCAGATGAGTGAGAGCTTTGGGGGACAGTGGGACATGCTCAGACCTTGGCAGCTGCCTTCATCATGGTGGCCAAGTCATTACTGAGTTCTTCTCACTTCCTCTCGGTGCAGATGTGTGTCCTCACCCTTTTCTTGATGAACTTGAGGGCCCGCTTGTTTTTGGAGACCTTGAGCAGCTCTGTGACACAGAACATGCATAGGAAATGAAACCTTGCATCTCCTGGATCATGTTCTGCACAAACTCGGTGTGCTTGGTGAGGTGTCCACGGTGGTGGCTGTGCCTCGGCCTGCTTATAGTCTTGGTTACTTTGCGGCCCTTGTTGAGGTCTATAGCCCAGGGGTAAGGGGCAGTGCACAGCCATGGCTCCTGTACTTGTATGGCTATCGTGGCAGAATGCAGATTTTTGTTCTCTTGATACTGAAATGTAATCCATATTGAAGTCTTCAGTGTTTAACCTTCTGCAGCAAGTGCTTCAAGTCCTCCTCACTTTCAGCAGTCAATGTTGTAGTGACTTTGTGGAAAGGAACTGCACTGCCAATGCAAAGCTATGCTGTTCGAATCTACCAGCTGCTCCAGGGAAGAAAAATGAGATTTACTACCTCTGAAATGCTACTGAAGGGTCAGCTACTGAATTGGTTCCAGCTAGATGGGAACGCAACAGCTGTCTACATAAGGCACTGTGGTGGTGCAGTAGTGAAGCCTTTAAATGCTAACTGAAAGATCAGCAGTTCAAACACAACAACCGCTTTCTCTGTGGAGAAAAAAATGGTGGTTTGACTCTGAAAGATTTCACCCTCAGAACAATTCTGTATTTGTCCTCTAGGGTTGCTATGAGTTGGAATTGAGTCTATGGTGGCAAGGCTTTTTTGCTGCTCTAGATTCTTGTGCGAATTAATTAAAAACAGTGCTTTGCTCATAAGAAATGTCACCAGTTACTGTTATATAACAAGTATTGTAGGAGAAATTGAAAGATTGAGATTTATGGGCCTTCTCAACAGAAAACTTATGTTTCTCTTTCTTTAGTCCCATTTAATGATTCCTTTCTAGGCTTATTTTATTGATGGTAAAAATAGAATAAGATAATGACTTAGCAAATGGATACTATATAAAGAGAGGTTAGTTCTTTATGTATCTTGGGGGAGTCCCAAGAGAAATACTATTTAGCTTCCAACCATTTCCAATCTCTCAGATGTGGATCCTCCTAAGGACACGATGGTGTCGAACCTGACCCTGAACTTCGGGCCCCAGCACCCAGCAGCCCATGGAGTCCTGCGGCTAGTGATGGAATTGAGTGGAGAGATGGTGCGGAAGTGTGACCCTCACATCGGACTGCTACACCGGGGCACTGAGAAGCTCATTGAATATAAGACCTATCTGCAGGTGAGGGTGAGGGGTGAACAGGGATGTTTTGCCTGAGACTTTGCTAGCTTACTGTTCCCAGAATCTCAGAAAAGGGGGATATTGAAGTGGAGCAACCTGTTGAGGCCCTTGAGACAGATTTTGTTGGGAGGATGATAAGGGATGGATGACAGAGGACCCTTGAGTCATCTGGATTTGTTTTACCGACAAGTGATGCTTTGCAGCTGGCGCTACATTCCCACATTTTCTCTGACTGACGTTTGGCTGGCTCCTTTATCCTCACTCTGCTGCCTCAGTTTCCTCCTTATACAAGTAGTGCGTCAAATCTCATGTCTCTGGAGAAAGAGAAGGAGCAGAGAGACGTCATTTCTCTAGGACTAACAGATGATTCTTGTATCTTCTAACTGTCAGAGTTTGTTTTTGAAACACTTAGTGAGTCAGAGTAACCAGGAAGGAGTTCGTGACTGAGTTTTTTTTATTTTAAGAGAACTCTGTGACCTAAATGCTCTGGGTCGGCTTTGAGGGAGCTGGGTCTGGATAGGAATCTGCATGTCTGTCTTTTTTAAAAGCAGTCCTCCTAAGATGGAGGGTGATCAGGTCAAGATTCAGTCATTGAGTCATTAGAGTAGGGATTGTTCACAGTGACTCGACTGTGATTCCTCTTCAGAGTCTAGGCAGTGATGGTTCCTGGTCCCAGAGTCCACGGAGTTAAGCCCTTGTAGCATTGTCTCACGTCACAGTGACGTCAAGATGAGAACAGGCTGTCCCAGAGAGGAGCATCTTGGTTCCACCTTCTTCCTGGAAGCCAAAGCTGGTTTAGCAGGGCTAGGACTTAATGGTTTGGGAATTTTTGTTGGGTTTTTTGTTTTGGCATTTTAGGAGAATAACCAGTCATTCCTACTCACTCCTACCAGCAACAAATCCCATCCTTCTCTGTGCTCTATCTTTCCTAAGTTTGTCACTCTAATATTTCTAAGACTGATTCCCTTTGTCCTTCATTATATCCGTGTCAAAAAAGAAAAGGAGGAGATTTGCAAGTCTCCAGTCCTTCTTTTTGGCTGAGAAATCACTTGGGTCAGAGGATTATTGGCAGTTGTGTGCTGGAGCCAGCTCAGAGTAACTTGGAAGAGCCAACTGTTACATTTTCGGGAATTTTGTGACAGGGTTGTTAAACGCAGCCATTATTAAAAAAATATTTTTCCTTTAACTTGTGATTTGAGTGAAAGTTTGTAGGCATTATTAAAACTTAGATTATATAAACTTATGTTCAGTGTGTTACATTAAAAATAAAAGTTGTTGTTTGTTGATATGTGTCATTGAGTCGCTTGCAACTTATAGTGACCCTATGTACAAGAGCCCTAAACCCTGCTCTATCCTGTGCCAACCTCACTGTCTCTCAACACACTACTCCCATTTATGAAATATTTAAAATGTAATGATTTTTAATTCTTTCATCTTTTTGATGAAAATGCCGTGTAACAGTGTGCTACTGCACATCTCTTTCCAACATTCAGTTATGTAATTTTGGAGGATTCATACTGGCTATTAGAGGAGTATTTTCACCATGGGAATTGGCAAACATGACAAATCAGGGGTTTTCCTCCTTTTTGGGAAGGTGATTATTAAACACTAACCAACATGGTCCTGGGTTTGAGGATGTTCTGTTTTGCTACAGTTTCTGAGGTTGACAAGGCTTATACGGCACTGGCCCCTGATGGTCACTTATAGTGAGGCTGGGACATGCGAAGTCTATTAAGTGTGACTCAGGTTCTTCCCTCTTCCCAGGCCCTGCCATATTTTGATCGTTTAGACTATGTCTCCATGATGTGTAATGAACAGGCCTATTCACTGGCTGTGGAGAAGTTGCTCAACATCCAGCCTCCTCCTCGGGCACAGTGGATCCGAGGTATGTCCTGTACCCTTCTTCCTGCATCCGGCTCATAGTGAACACAGCACAATGCCAACCCTACTTTGGCAACATTGAATCCAAGTGTAGTATCCAGACCTGTAGTGTTCAGACCCCAGGCTTTGCCCAGGGCTTCTCTCTCAGCCCCTGTGCCTTCTTTTCACCTTATCTCCCCCTCTCTTCAGTGCTGTTTGGGGAAATCACACGGCTTTTGAATCACATCATGGCTGTGACCACGCATGCCCTGGACATTGGGGCCATGACCCCCTTCTTCTGGATGTTTGAAGAAAGGGAGAAGGTATGAGAGAAAGGAATGGATATAAATAGCGAAAGAAGTACAGGAAATAGAGAACATCTGAGAAGGACAAGAGATTGAAAGAGAGAACATGAGGAGGGCATTTGTGGGGAGAAGTAGAGTATAACCTAAGTTATACAGTCTTAGGAACTCTGTTAGGAGGTGTCAGTTGGGCACGAGAAGGGAAAAAGGAAGAGGGTGGTGAGTAGACTACAGTGTTGTTGGACTTAGAGGTCTAGGACTTTGTCACTAATTCCCAGTGTGTCCTATCAAGATGTTTGAGTTCTATGAGCGAGTATCGGGAGCCCGAATGCATGCTGCTTACGTCCGGCCAGGAGGAGTGCACCAGGTGAGCAGGCTCCCCACCTCTCCCCTCAATTTTTAGTCCAGCCCTGGGTTCTCTGTGGCCACTGGAGGGCAGCATTGGTTGGTGGAATCTCGAAGGCTGACTTCCTGCCTGCATCCTCCTGTAGCTCTGGAGAGAAGACTCCTGAGTGGCATCTCTGCTGTACTCACTGTCACCCTCCAATTGGCTTTTAGGACCTCCCCCTAGGGCTTATGGATGACATCTATGAGTTTGCTAAGAACTTTTCTCTCCGGATTGATGAGGTAGAAGAGGTAAGATTGGAGGGAAAAATTTTTTTTCTTCTTTTTTTAAGTCCCTGCCTTACTGATATAGAAAGAAATATGGAAGTATTCTGGTATGGAAAAGTATTTAACGACTTGTTTTCTTCGCCAACAGATGCTGACCAATAATAGAATCTGGAAAAATCGGACAGTCGACATTGGTGTTGTAACAGCGGAGGATGCACTTAACTATGGTTTCAGGTGTGCGGACTAAGATTTCCCTCCTGGTTCCTACTTACAGCCTGGTGTGACCAGCCCTAAACCACCTTATTAGGGTTGATATTATAGTTCAAGGGAGGGACGGGAAAGTTCCAGCTTCCTATTTTGGCTTCAGGAATGTGTGGCACCGTCCTGGTGGTCTGAGTTTTCATCCTGAATTTCAGGGAGGAAGAACGGGAAACTCCAGAGGAAAGTGTGTCTCCTCTGTTGCTTTGTAGAATGTGGTTCTCACTCCTACTGTATTCTCTACAGCGGGGTGATGCTCCGGGGCTCAGGCATCCAGTGGGACCTGCGGAAGACGCAGCCCTATGATGTTTATGACCAGGTGGAGTTTGATGTTCCCATTGGCTCTCGAGGGGACTGCTATGATAGGTAAGGCCCAAATGATATCCTTGCTTATTTTCGAGCGAGTTTCCCCATCCAGCTTCTCTTTACTCATTTTCTCCTTTATTCTGCCTGCTATTACCTATGGAAGGAGCTCTGGTGGTATATAATGCCTAGTGTGCTGTGCTGCTTACTGAAGGGCTAGCAGTTCAAATCTTTCTAGGAGACAGATGAGCAATCTTCTCCAATTAAGATCTATAGTCCCAGAAACCCAGTGAAGGATCTCTGGGAGTAGTATTGACTTGAGGGCATTGAGATAATACTCATAGGAGTATTATCTATCTATCTATCTATCTATCTATCTATCTATCTATCTATCTAATCTATCTATCTATCTATCTATCTATCTATCTATCTATCTATCTATCCTAACCTGGGTTGCTTTTCAGGGCACTTTCACATATGTAACACTTTTATTTTATCCTTACATTATTCCCATTTGTTTGTTTAGGAGAGTATTCAGGAGGGAAAAGTTAAAGGGCATGATCTGAGAAAATAAAAAGATTTGGGGAAAAGACTAAACGGTAGAATCAGAAGATTGCAGGACCTAAGTAGGATAAGTCATAATAGGTGTGCATCTGAAGAGGAGATGTTGTACTAAAGAAAAATGAGTGAGAAAAGTTTGTCTAAATCTTTTTCAGATTGGTCAAAGGACTCCATTCCCTATCCCATATCTGATTCTCTGACCACCTCTTGTTCTGAGTCTGTCTTGTCTGCTTCAGGTACCTGTGTCGGGTGGAAGAGATGCGCCAGTCCCTTCGAATCATCATACAGTGTCTCAACAAGATGCCTCCTGGGGAGATCAAAGTTGATGACGCCAAAGTGTCTCCCCCTAAGCGAGCAGAGATGAAGGTTGGTTGTGGGGACAGAGAAAGTAGGATCAGTAGCCAGGGAGGATTACCTTGGGATTAGACTTTGCCTTTCTATAAGAATTAACCACAAGATTTTTAATCCCCTTAGCACTCTTGTTCTTCTCACTAACTTGTGTGTGGGGTTTTAGACTTCCAGAGGGTGAAAATTATTTTCTTTGCTATAGAAAGGTTTAGGAGATAGAGTTTATATCTAATTTATTAATGCTCCCTTTTCCCTTCTTCAGACTTCCATGGAGTCATTGATTCATCACTTCAAGCTTTACACTGAGGGCTACCAGGTTCCTCCAGGGGCTACATACACTGCTATTGAGGCTCCTAAGGTGAGACTGAAAAGGAAAAGACAGTCTGTAGAGTGAATGACTGAAACTGGGTATTCAAATAAGCTTGTGACTCAGAGCCATCATGGCATAGTGGTTAAATGGATTCCTATTCATAATATCATCAGTTCAGACTTGCAGGAGAAAGATGAGCCAGTATATCAAATAAGTGCTTGCTTGCGATGAGGCTGAGTAGAACAGTTTTGTTGACAGAAAAATGTTCTAAGTGTTAATGGAGGCATCCAATCTTCTTCCTCGGACAGGGTGAGTTTGGAGTGTACCTGGTATCTGATGGCAGCAGCCGCCCTTATCGGTGCAAGATCAAAGCTCCTGGTTTTGCCCACCTGGTAGGAAACAGTCCTTCTGATTCTAATGCCAATAAATGAATGTTGTAATTTACTGACCTTATAAAGTAAACAGGTCAAATCTGTCTCTACCCTGCAAATCTTGCCCTAACACCATTGCTATCTCATTCTCTCTAGGCTGGCCTGGATAAGATGTCTAAGGGACACATGTTGGCGGATGTTGTTGCCATCATAGGTACAAGGCCCTTTGTGAAGGAAAGATGTTCTGTACAGGAGGATGGGGGACAGAAAGAGAGAATTCCCTGTTCAGCAAAGACTAGGGGCATGGACACAATCTTTTAGACAAAGGGATGGGTTCTGAATCTTGACCAACTTTTCTCTGTCCCCTGACCTCCTAGGTACCCAAGATATTGTGTTTGGAGAAGTGGATCGGTGAGCAGGGAAACAATGTTTTATTTCCCTCTCCTGCCAGCTTCCTCAGCAATGTTTGTCATCATTGGAAATGGGAGTGTATGTATATGTATACAACTTTCAAGCTTTCTATGTTTGTACTAGAAAAGGAAAAAGTATAATAAATTAGCCGCTTTGCGGCCCCTACACCCAACCTTCTGGTATGGCATAGAATTTTACTGTCCTTTTCTTTGATGAGAAATTTGAGTGTCTGCTAACCCTTCATTTCTCTATTTGGTTTAGTTCTCACCAGTTTTTCCTGCTTATCCCCACCCCCTTCTCTGACTTGTCTGCTTTCTTTCCACTTCTCTGTTCCCCATTTCCCCCTTTCTTCCTCTTTCCCCGTCTGCCTCTTTACATCTAGGCCCTCTGTTTATTTATACAGATTGACAGAGTGCTCAAATCAAGACAGAGATAAAATTCCAGATGGAAGGGAAGGGGATATATTGGGGGGGGGGGTGTCTCAGGCATTCAGGCGTCCCAAGGGGCAATTTATCAGCTATATCTCTGAAGGGAGCAGGAGGAGAGAAAGATGGCGGATGTAGACAGCTTTCTCAAAGTATGAGAGTCACCTATTCCCATAGATGAGGGGCCTTAATGAAGGACTAAGGCTTGAACAGCCAGATCTCCCAGCTCCCCTCATTGGCCCTTCCGGGAGCCACCCGGTTTTAGGGCAGGAAGGGGAAGGGGCCAAAGCGTGGGGGAAGGCGTGGCAGGAAGGGGGGGAACTCTGTGGTCAGGGAACTGCTCACTGAGCCTGTACAGCTGCGCAGTGCTGTTAGGACGTCCGATCCACAGCTCGGCCCGGCCCGGCCCTGGCCCCGGCCCCCTGCACACGATGCTTCCAGCAGTGGTCTTGCTCATACTTCTTTTGGTTGAACAAGCAGGTGAGAAAGTTGGGTGAGGGACAGTGCACTGAGCTGTGTGGTAGAAGTCCAGGACGTGTTGGACAAAGGGACTGAAGAAGAGTGGCAGTGGGAGAGAGGCACCGGCTGAGAAAGAAGGACACAGAACCAGTGACTAGTCTTAACCAGCCCCTACCCAGAGCATTAGGTTCATGCGTGTAGGTCCCTCCTTTCTTGTCCCAATCTTTCATAGCTCTTGACTTCTTCCTGTCCCATTTCAGTCATAATTTTTCTCTTTGAAGGATTTGTGAACTCTTGATGCTTCAGTTTGTCAAGAGGTGATAGTTGTATGATAGGAAGATCTCTTCCCACAATGTTCCATTTCCCATAATCTGCATTTTCATGAAGGACGTTTTTGGGCTTTACTGGGACTCAAATGTAGCTAATAAAACAATGCAGAGCTCCCTTCAAGAAAGCAAGGGCCTGTCCTGGTCTTTGAGAGTAAGGGTGATCTAGATGAACAAGCGCAATTGTTAACATACATTCTGTCAGTATGCTGATGTGAGAATGGGCAGCACAAAATGCCCTCTAGAGACCCTGGCATCAGCTGAGAAATACAGGCAGAAATGGGAAAGGCCCAGTGACTTACAGTCTCTAGTCGTTTTATTTAAGAACCTTCACAAGTAGCTGTCTTCTTTATCTGTGCTGGAAGCATATGTATTTGTGGTTTGAGAGGGATGGTAGCAGCTGGGTCTCAGAGGGGAGAGAGGTTGGGTAGACTTCTGGAAACTGAAGAAATTGAAAGAGAATAAAAGGGGAGGGGCTTTGCCGACTCAGTTATGAAGACAGATGGATTAAATTAGCTCCCATTGTGTTGTCATGGGAGTAGAAGGGAGCAAGAGATAGGAGGCTTGAAGGAAACAGCAAATGCTTTGGAAACAAATCCTGCATTTGAGTTTCTAGCTCTGCTCCTTTTGGATGACTTACTTATTAGCTATCCTGAGCCTTGGTTTTATCACCATAAAATGGTGGTGATGATGTTTCCCTCAGGAGTCTTGAGATTTGTGCAATAGTCTGTGTGAAAATGTGTGGTAAACTAAAAAGTGTTCTACTGATACTGATACATCACCCCTGAGCCCTTCTGATAAGGCCTGGAGCAATCTCTGGAGTGCAGACCCTATTTGATTTGGGGGATTTTTTAAAATTACACGAAACTTCCCTATTCAGGCCCAGAGTGAGTGAGTAAGTGACAGGGCAGAGTAGCGGGACATGCAATTCACGGAGCTTACTATCTTTTCCTTGAGCTGGGCTCAGACGCTCGCCATCCTTGAGTCCCAAGACTTTGGTATCTATAAAATAATGGGAAAGCAAACCCCTTGTTTTTAAGTATTTTAACTGTCTTGAGGGAAGACAGCACAGTGACAAAGCTTGGGCTACAAGATGACCAATAATAGAGTAATTGACTTCTCTCCCTTCCCCAGCACACATCCTTCCTGTCCAGCCCTCAGCCACAGGTCACAGGACTTTGCAGAGGCACCCCTGTGGTTTCTGTGCTGAAATTTGTCACTGCCTCTCTCATGCTCTACCCCTTGGGCTGAGGTTTTGGGTCTTAGCCCAATAAGCACAGATGAGTCCCCGGAGGGGAATGAAGTGCTCAATGATGCCTGAGCAACTCTACAACCTTAGAAAGTGAGGACTGAAGAGGAAGGACAGAACAAGTCACACCTTTTACCCTGTCCTACAACAGAGCCGGGGGTGGAGGGCTGGGAGAGTGGTGTGTGTTCAAAGAAATAGGACTCTGAAGAGGAATGCTGTTTCTTCCCTGCGAGAACCCCACCTCCAGGCCCTGTCCTACCTCCTAGAGCCTTTTCACTTCTTTCCTCTGAGCATCAGATCCCCCTAATGCCCCTGACCCCATGGGCACCCTCTGTCCCCTCAGCGGCCCTGGGAGAGCCTCAGCTGTGCTATATCCTGGATGCAATACTGTTTTTGTATGGCATTGTGCTCACCCTGCTCTACTGTCGACTCAAGGTAAGTCTGGGCCAGGCTCGGGTAAGGAATGGATGGACAAGAGAGGGAGGGTGGCAGCAGCTTAGATTCTAGGAATGAGAGTGACAATAAAAGGTTCCCTCACGGAGTTAGGAGGGAAGGAGGATGGACTCCTAACTTTCTCTTTACTGATCACCTTTCCTCCATTCCAGATCCAAATGCGAAAGGCAGTAGCCAGCTATGAGGTATGGACTCAACCACCCCTGGGTGTCAACTGGTCTTTCAGACTTAGCTCCTGTGGGACTCTAGGGTTTGAGGCCTATGGACCTCGGGGAGGGTAGATGTCAGGTGCTGATCTGTTTATGCTTCGGTCCCCGACCTCCCATCTCACTTCACCCCACCCTTCTTAGCAGACCACAGAGAGGAATCAAGTAAGGTGACAATATATGAGAGAGTTGTATATTGTGTTCATAGTTAGGTTGGCAAATAGGCTTTCATATCCCTGGACATATATGTGTGTGTCCTCTAGTTCAGAGAGGCTGGTTACCTTTGGCCAGATATTTTCCCAGGTGGGGAAGCAGATGCTAAAAGGCCCAAAGGGATGTGCAGGTCTAATTCCTTGCCCTTTTTGCCTCCGCAGAAGTCAGATGGCATTTACACAGTGAGTATTTACACTGCCTCCCTCTACCACCTGTTCCAAGAAGTCAGCAGAAAAGGGTGGAATTTTGAGTCACCTCTGGAAGGGATGGAGTCTCTGGGGTGGGGTGAAGCCCTAGGCGGGGCTCCTGATCATCTTCTGACTCCCCACCTCCAGGGCCTGAGCACTCGGAATCAGGAGACTTACGAGACTCTAAAGCATGAGAAGCCACAACAGTAGATTTAGAATGGACACCCTCGGTCATATCTTCTGCTCTAGTCCTCCTGCCAGTCCTCATGGTTGCCATCCACATACGCTCCCTTCCCTTGCCGTTAATACCACCTGACCCCACTATGTAATGACACTTGCCCCTCATTAATGTTTACCAGTGAATCCTCCTCCCTGTCAAAGACTTTTGCTCAAATGTTATTCATTAACATTCTAGACTTGCCCCCTTGCCCTACCATTTTCCTCCCTGCTCCCAACTTCTACTAAGCAATGTCATAAGAGTTCCTTCAATAAAACCACTGCAGACTGGCTTCTCTTTATTCATTCATTTATTCAGTCTCTGCCAAGCATTAGGCTGGACACAGGTTGGTTTATTTTTTTTACTATATACCTTTTATTATTATTTATTGTGGTAAAATATAACACACACAAATACAAAAGCTGCTATTTCAGCCTGAAGATCGTTTGGGGTATAGCAGATTCAGTACCTGACCTCAAGAGCTCACAAGTGAATGAATTTCTGGACATTTTGTTTGCATGAGAGATGAATGCTCACTATGGCTGAGGGAGGGGTAAGACCACTGACCTCCAGATGCCCTGGGTGGGTGCTGGCAGTGTCTGAGCACTAGTGTGGGAAGTATTCAGGCACATTTGGAGGTTTTAAAAACCAATTGATTCTGATTCATGTTGACCCATGTGTATCTGACTGGAGCTGTGTTCCATAGGGTTTTCAGTAGACCTTTCTTCCAAGGAACCTCTGAGTGGATTTGACCTTGAAACTTTTAGTTAACAGTTGAGTGCATTAATCATGTGCATTCCCTAGCTTGGGTGTGTGTGTTTTAAAGGTGTTATTGTTGTTGTTTACTCTCGAGTCAGAACCAACTCAGTTGACCCTCCAGTGGGTTTTCAGAGAAAGTAAATCACATGGGAGGAGACTCTCCATCCTCCTTCCATGGAGCATCTGGTGATTTTGAACCACAGGCCTTTGGGATTGCTACACACCTTATAACTAGGCCACTAGAGTTCCTAAGAAACTATTTCTGCACCCAACTTGGCCTTCTGTGCCTGAAAATTAAATCAGAGTGGGTTGTGGGGAAGTCTGGCTGTGCTATCCAAGTAATCACCAATCCAGATTAGAGTGGCCTTCAGGGAGCAGTGTGAGGACCATTCACAGTGTACGTGCACATGGGGATTAACAGAGCTGAGAAACCCCATGTGCGGGAGGAATGGTAGAAGTAGTGTTGTGTAATGCTTGCAGTGAAAGGTTTTATGAGAGCAGTGATCTTTCAGCAGACTCCGGGGCAAGAGAACTTTTAGAGGGTCGGATAAGGATGGAATGAATGAGACCAAGGGGAACAAATCCAATCCACACAGAAGGTCAGCTCCTGTGAGTGTGTGAGAAGGTGGTCAAGGAATCCCTCTGGTCAGTTCCTGTCCTGTTGTTAGTTCTGCTAGGAGGTGGGATACTTGCATCTGATCCAGCAGCCCAGTCAAAATGGATGCATAGTCTCTATACTTATCCTGACAACTTCTGATTCTAGGCTAACCTTTGCACTGCATAGATTTTCCAGTGTGTAGTATTATTTGCTTATCTTGCTAATCCTGTGAAGAAATTCAGGTTCTTTGAAGTTAACCTGCCCAAGGTCACCTTGCAAGTTATAAAGTGGGATTCAGACCAAGATCTCTTTACTGTCAGACATTTTTGCAGAGAGGGACAAAGTGAAGATATGAGGAAACAGAAAAAGAGAGGAGTAATTGTGAGTGTAAGAATCTTGAGACCAAATTGAGGAGATTTGTCAGTATAAGGAAGAAATTAGAGCAACTCTTTTAAAGGTAAAATGGGAATAAACTTTAATAGAAAAATAGTTTCTTTTTTCTTTGCTCTACATTTTGAAATTGTGATCCTTACAGCATTGATTCAGTCTGATTTCCATTCCATTTATATTCAATCAAGCTCTCAGCATTTCTGTGGTACCACATTATCTACCAAGTTGAGTACCTGTCAGGGCTGTAAATGACCATGAATGGCTACTAACTGCAGATCAGTTTTATGAAAAACACTTTGATCAGTAGGGAAGAGGCTTGCAATGTTAAGGGGCTTAACTGAGAGGCTTTCAATGGAGGAATGAAAGCACTTTTAGGAGAGGAATACTTTCAGGTCTTTTACTGAGGGAGAAGGGAAACTCAGAAGGAATGATCTTGACATCTATAGTTTTCTCTCATGGAAGTTTTCACTTTGTGACCACACACACACACACACACACACACGGGTCGAGGAATTTAGTTCACACATCTTTCATCGCTTTCAGGGTTTTGTGTCCAACACAAAACTTTTTAGTGCTCTGTGACATCAGTCAGACCCAGGTTTGTAGGGAGACTTCTTTCGCTTGGAAAAGAGTAAAGGATCACAGGCATCCCCACTATGTCATTTCTACCATCTATCTTCTACCACCCCACACCAAAGACCCCTTTCTTTAAGAATCAGCTTTTTCTCTGTCCTACCATCCTACTCCCCTACTTCTCCAACTTCCTCCCATCCCTAAAACACAGCAGGCTCACAGGTTGACTGATTCAGTATTTATTGTAGAAAACAGAAATCAGTAGAGAAAGAAGCTGGAGTCCTCGCCATATTTCAGGGGCCAGATGAGGATGAAAGGCAAAGGTCTGGACACTTCACTTGGCAGCAGACTCTGCTTTGTGTTTCATGAAGTTGTTGATGAGGCTAAGTATATCTTCTCTAGCCTTCTGGACCAGGGGTTTCAGCTTGTCCGTTGTCTTCTCAAAGTAATCCCTGGATATAAATGGGACTAAAGGTCAGCATGAGTGGCCCTGTGTACTGGGAACTGCCTTGTTGGTGGAGGGTCAGAGCAGACTGATCCAAATACCCAAGTGCTACTGTCTGGTCCATTCTAACATGGTAAAGGCCCCAGAAGGAGAAGAAAACTTTCCATAAGGCAGAGGAATGTATTGCTAGAGATAGAAATTCAAGGCCCCTTTGCAGTAGTCCCTATCTTTCAGGAGGCTAATAAGGATCTAAGTGAGGTTCACAAAAGGATTTTCCTCTCCTATTTCTATTTCTGCCCAAGGGAGCTCTGGTGGTGGAGTCTATAGGGAACTTTGCTGCTAACCCAAAGGCCAGGCCACACCTCTCTGGAACTTCTACTCCACCAGTGGCTATACTGGAGAAAGATGGACAATTTTCTCCCATGTCATTTATGCTGAGCCTTAGAAGCCCAACAGAGGGCTGGCTATGAATCAGTTCAGACTTGACAGCAATGAATAGGGTAGTAGACTTTATACTTGATTTTTCCTAACCCTCACCCCTGAGTTCAGTCTTCCCTGAGATCTTCCATCTTCCTCTCCACACCTCCTGAACCCTTTCCTTGGTACTTACCTGGCCTGGGTTGGAATCTCACTGGCCTTTGCTCTCTCCAGCAGGTCTTGGCTATACTGGCTCAGGCTCTGAAAGTACTGAGTGAAAGTACTCTGCGCATTTCCCTCCTCCGCCTGTCTCCGAACCAAGGCTCCTGTGTGTACACACACACACACACACACACACACACACACACACACACACACACATTTTTCTCAGTTGGGAACACAGAGACCGAGTCCTGGCTTCCTGCCACACCTTCTGCCAATGCTCAGTATTAGCTCTCAGCCCCTTCTCCTATGTCCAGCTTCAGGTTTTTGGATGATATTTCTGGGATTTAGAGGAAGATTAATCTTCCCTTTGAGCTTATAGTTGCCAGAATTGGACCTAAGAATCTAGACAGATGGGTGGCTAGGAGTAGCAGCAGCATCTCTCTTGGGGGGCCCCTCATTCCATATTATACCCACCTTCAAGGCTACAGATGGTGAGAAGCAGCACAGTCATTGCAAGCAGCTTCATGGTGGTAGCAGTGTGGAAGACACAACCTGGTGACAGAAGGGAAACTCTGAATCCCTGTGGTCTTCAGCACCTCCCCAAAGATCTTCCCCACTCCAACCCGATTCCCTCCTTTTCTTCAATTAAAACCCAGGCTTCGTTGGATACTTCCCACACTTCCTACTCCCTTACCTTACCCACTCAGTGTCTCTGTCCTTGGAGTCCGTGCTTGGCCTAACTGGAGAGGCAATGGGATATATACCTCTTTGCTCCCCCACCCCTGTCAGGTGACAGAAATTGAGGAAGGGCCTAGTGGGACAGTTGCTGTCTTTGAGTAAACAGGTCAGAGAAGTGGGGGAGGATAGGACAAACATATAGGGATTTGTGGAGATGAGATAGGAGGTGGGGTACCTGTAATGGCTTTAGTGGAGGCCAAGAGGGTGAACTTTAGGCTAGTTGGAATTACTGGGGGAGGGGGACTGAGCTAATAGTCCTTGACTTGAATGCAGCAGGAAGCAAGACTCCTGGTTCTTTCTCTGGAAAGTTCTGGCATGTCAAGCCCTCACCTCTTGGTTGGTGTCTCTATTCCAAAGTGGTTAGATTTAATCTTACTCTGCTCCTTTTCATTGTGATTTGACAAAGTGGTATTGAGGAAAGAAGAGGGGAGTTGAAACCAGGGGTAGGGTTGAGGAGAATGGAACTTTTAGCAACAAGGAGGTCAGGGTCAGAGGGCAAATGTCATTGACTCTGTTCCGTTTCTAAGTTAATGTGTAATGAGAAAGGGGAGAAAACACGAAATCCCAGAATGATCTTCCTGGGTGCTAATATGAGTACACCCTACCCCCAATAAAACAAATTCAGCAAGCAGCTTCGGTCCTTCCCTCTTAATTAATGGCGTGGGCAGGGGGAAAGTGATAGGCTTCTGCCAGGTTAAAAGTTGAAGGTCTCTAGTTATTTGATCACCTTATCAGTCCTAGGTAGTGGTCAGGCAATATTGAATCAGCAGGGGCAATAGCATCTCTCTGGCCAAGACCCTGGCTTATGTCCCAGCGCTGATTGTGAGGAAGGGAAGAGGTACATTCCCTAAATCAAAGCATTTGGGCAAAATCAGCTAAATACAAAGAAAATCAACATTTCATTCCTCTGCCAAGTTCACGAAACACTGTAAGGACAACTACCATATAAGACCATTATTGTAGAAATAGATAAGTAGTAAAACGTGTATGAGGATCTAAGGGAGGGGGAGAGAGAGGGGTAATCATAGAGTCGCACAATTTGATGGGTGGAGGGAGGGCTAGGTTAAGGAAATGGGAAAGATCTGGTGTGAAAAACAATGTATATGAACTTTGTAAGTAAACCAGTATAAATTTACAACCCCCGCCCCCCCCCCAAAAAAAAAGAAATAACTCCTCCTTTACTAATCGTTCTCCTATGAAGTACTTAGTGTGTGAGTCAACCTATTGATTTACCTCTGATCCTGGAGCAGAGGACATTTGGGGATCTGAGTCTGTATTCCTGGATTGTACTTGCCAACTGTGCCTTGGGGTTCATCAAGAAGGGACTGGCTAACTACAGGGTAGCTATTTCAGGGAATACCTTTTTTAGAGCTAAAGCTAGCGCCCCTGCTCCTCTCTTATCCACCCACACCCCTTGTGCGAAGAGGGCAAAACGATTAAAAGAAAGAAGAGAAATCAATACCTACAGGAGTGATGCGTGCGTCTATGTCTTAGAGCTGTTCTTGTGAATTGTTGAGTTTGTTCTTGCGAGTAGTATTCACTTGGAGGTGTTCTGTGGAGGGCTGTCAGGAGGGATCTACAAGGATTTTCTTTGGAGAAGAGAGGGAGGAAGGAACAAGGGTTTGGAAGAAGTCTTTACAATTGTTCCCACCACTACTCTTGACAAGACCCTAGAGACCATGCTTCACAGTTTAGGTTTTCTCAGTGGTCCGGACGGAATTTCAGTTGTTCCCGCTCCAAGATGCTCCCCCTAGTGTCCAGAACACTCACAGGCTTTGCCCGACCTTGAGAGGCCGGGCAGTCTAAGGTCTTTTGCTTGAGGAAGTCTAAGGATCTACCACAAATCAAATCCCGCCTGCTTCTGCCGCAACGCCCAGGTTGGAGCACCTCGGTTGAGGCGCCTGCCACTCCTTCGCTTCCTCCTCTCTTATTGGTTTCTAGTAGAGCAAGGCGGTCTTTTATCATCATTTGGGCGGGGACAAATCCGGGACCGGGAGGTAGGTTGGACCTTTGATATCTTTTTTTTTTGCCCAGTTCCAAGATGGCGCTCGCGACCACGCTAAGAATACAATGTGAAGCCTCAAAGCTGCCATCACTCAAGATGGCCGCCCCCACCGAGATGACCGGGGTGTGCCGGGGGGGAAAGGTGCAGTAAGGTGGTCTGAGACGGTAAGAGGTATTGCTTCATTGTAGGCCTGGTGTAGGACCCTGGGGATGAAGAGAAAAAAAAAAGGAAGCTGGGTGAGGACTGTGATAAGGGCTAGGATTAAAGAGTGGAGGAGGGGACCGGGTGACAGGTAGGGGTGAGGCATCAAGGATGGGACTGGAGGGTGCATGGGTTCGATCTTTCCATCGATGCCTTCTTCTGCTATTCCAGGTCTAACGTCGGACCATGTTGAAGTTTCTGGGATTGGAAAGCTTGATGATGGGGGGTGGGGCCCGTGGAGGGTAGAGGGAGCAATAGCGTCCTTTCTCAGGCTAACCCGGGCCCCTGTCCCTCCTCTGGATTGGGATGGGGAACACACTGGGCCTGGCACCCATGGGGGCCATGCCTCGCCGGAGCCCCCGTCGAGAGGAACCTCTGCCCAATCCCGGGAGCTTCGATGAGCTGCACCGGCTATGCAAAGGTGGGGACTTGGCATTATGGTGCTTCAAGTTAGAATGGACAGAGCAAGGGAGGGTCTTGAATGTTGGGTGTCTAGGGTTGGGGACAGGAAAGGGATGGTCATAGCAGAGCGTGCAGCCTCAGAGAGGACCAGTTGCCAGAATAAAGTGGAGCATTTCACTGCAGGACTTGAAAGGAGGTCAATTCCTCTAAAGTATTTCTTATGGGATTGAAAAGGAAGAGTACTTTATTGGGTAGGGGTTCTTTGTCTATATGTCCGTACTATTCCTTTTTTTCTCCTCATGCCTCCTTCAGATGTATTTCCAGCACAGATGGAGGGAGTGAAGCTCATTGTCAACAAGGTTCTGAGCAGCCATTTCCAGGTGCTCCCATGTCTCTGACCCCTCTTGACTAGTCCTCCTTGTTTGTCCCTCGACCTTCTCATTTCCTTTATATTCCAAACTTAACCAGGCTCTATGAGTCAAATGAGGGAGGAACTCTATTTCCCTTGTTTGTGGGACTTGTTGCTTTTAATCTTTGACCTACAGTGTGTTGGGATGTGTGGGATTCTTAAGAGATCCTCTGAGTGGGGAGAAGATGGGATGCAGGGTTGAAATGGTGCAGTAGTCTCTCCCTTTCAATGACTCCTCTTTCCTCAGGTGGCTCACACTGTACATATGAGTGCCCTGGGCTTGCCAGGTTATCACCTCCATGCGGCCTATGCAGGTGACTGTCAGCTTAGTCCCAATGAGGTGAGGACTCTCCACACCTTGTCATCTCCCCAAAAGCTCGCCTGGGGCCAGGTCTAGGGGAGGAGGAAATTTGTTACTATGTAGAATGGGCAAGAGAGCTGATTTTGTGTCTTCTGAATGATAGGTAAGGGGAAACTTGTGTGAAGAGCTCAGAGTTTGTCTTTGTGGTTCCGCCAGAGGGCGCCAGGAACTGTTAAGGAATTCATGTATTGGGATTTAGACTTAGACATGCTGCACCGCTCAGCATCTCAATCTACCCTCCCAACAGGTATTCCCCACTGTAGTAGGAGATATGGACAGCAGTGGTAGCCTCAACGCCCAGGTCCTGCTCCTCTTAGCAGATCGGCTTCGAGCCAAGGCTGTCTTCCAGGTGATCTTGCTTCCTGCCTTCCTGCCTCCGTCCATTGAGGCATTTCTTCTATTTTTCCAGTGAAGACAGTAGTGATCTTATAGTGGGAGGGAAATTTTACTTCTTGTTCTCTCCACCTAGACGCAGCAGGCCAAGTTCCTGACTTGGCAGTTTGATGGCGAGTATCGGGGAGATGATTACACAGCTACAGTAACCCTGGGAAATCCTGACCTGATTGGAGAATCAGGTGAGACATTCGGCCACTGGGTTCTTTTTTACCTTCACTCCCTGCATTCTAATGTTGGCTTGTTCATCTGTACAGTTGAGAGATTAGGAAAGGACTTTTTGGGGGGTGGTTATTAGGAGTGGGGGTGGTCCAGCTATTTATTATCTGTATGAATATTCCCTAACTCCATGCTTCCACATTCCTCCACAGTGATCATGGTTGCACACTTCCTGCAGAGCCTCACTCATCGGCTGGTGCTAGGGGGAGAACTAGTTTATCACCGGAGGCCCGGCGAAGAGGGGGCCATCTTAACACTGGCTGGGAAGTACTCAGGTATGGGGTCAGTTAGAGTAGTGACAGGGAGGGGAAATCCTGGATTTTGTTGGTGTTTCTAACATTCTTTCCCCTTCTGTTTGTTAAATTATTTTTTAATAGCTGTGCACTGGGAAGCTACATTGAATGTGGGGTCTGGCGGGGCCCATGCAAGTTATTACCACAGAGCAAATGAACAGGTGAGACTACTAAGCCCCCTCCCCTCTGACCTCGGAAAGCCGGCTCTGTTCTTTTGCCCCTCTGGACCCCACAGACTTTGCTGACCTACTATTCTCCCTACTTACCCTCACATCTATTTTCATGAATGCCTTCATTCTGATTGGTACTGATCCTCTGTCAAGACTCCTCTGTATTCTCCCCTGAGGCATATCCTCTCTCATCCTTGCCCATTATTTTCAGGTTCAGGTTGGAGTGGAATTTGAAGCAAACACAAGATTACAGGACACAACCTTCTCCTTTGGCTACCACCTTACTCTGCCCCAGGCCAATATGGTGTTTAGAGGTGAGGATTATTGCAACAATGTTCAGAAGTGCTGAGACATTTGAGGCCTGTAGAGGATGAAGATGCACTACCTTACTTCTGCTGACCCCTTTTTTCAAGCCATGTTAAGTAACCTATTTGGTGCTCTCTTCCCCAACAGGCTTGGTGGATAGTAACTGGTGTGTGGGTGCTGTGCTGGAGAAGAAGATGCCTCCATTACCTGTCACTCTAGCCCTCGGAGCTTTCCTCAATCACTGGCGCAACAGATTCCATTGTGGCTTCAGCATCACTGTGGGCTGAGTTTGTCCTCAAGCCCCCACAGCAGCTGGAACCTCTGAGTCAGGTGTCCTAGGGCCAGAGACTAGGCCCCCCTGTAGAGCTCACTTTGCTGGGTGAGCTCTAGATCCCAGGTGCAGAGTCGGGACAGGACCAATTCACCTCAGAACTGGAGCTGCCACAAGGGTAGCCAATGAAGCAGTGGTTTGAGGATCCCTCCTCTACCATAAGCCTCTCTGTCATCTTCCTTAGGGCTTTGGACTAAGAGGGGGAAATTAAGGATATATCTGGCTGATATTTCTCCTTTACTTCTTATCCTTTTGGATTAAAGCTCCTAGCCTCTTGTTCAGAGCAGAAAATTCTGCACAGGATTAGTTTCCTGTCAGGTTTCTAACCTGGAGTCTCCCAAGGCTTTGAAAAGAGGGCTTAAGGGCTAAATCTTTGGCCTCAGAAAGCAAGGCCCACCTATTCCCAGAGGAGCTTTACCTCAAAGCCCTGAGGCTACCTTCCTCCCGATCTTCTGTGCTTCCAGAGAACAAATTTTTGCCCATAACCACTCTGTACTCCCCCCATGACAGCATGAAGAGACAGTTACTGTTTTAGTCTTTCATTGCAATCACTGGATTCCCTTTCTGTCCAAACTTTCCCCTTCCCACTTCAGTGTGTCCCAAGTGGATTGGGCAAGAGGTGAGCCAGGTTCCTCAGCTGTAGATCTCCTGAAGTAGTGGCATCATGGCAGACAGCTCCTGGATGTGCTGCATTTGGGACCCATATGCGTTGTTAATACTCCGGAGTTCAGCCAGTAAGCCCAGTAGCTTTGCATACAGAAACCTTTGTTGGAAGCAAAGGGGTTGTCAGTGAAACAGGAGGGAAGTAAGACAATTTGTAGTATTGTCCTGAGCCTCTGATTTTGAACTGAACTGCCTGTTCCTCAGTGAAGCTGGTGACCACTAGACAAAGTCATGCTCTCGTAGTCAGATGTTCCAGATGTCCCCAAGGAGGCCACTGTCTGACTTCACCATGTCCACTCTCCCCTGGATCTCTGAGGGCCAGGTGTGAAGTAAGACCAAGACTTCAGGCCCAGCCTCAGCCCCAGAACTTCAACTTGGTGGATATGAGGGTCTGGCCTTCTAGGTCGAGAAGATGGGTGTGTTCTATAGTATAATGAGTCTCTCTTCTGGCCAAACTGATTCATTGAAAAATGTGCAAATCCAGAAGTGGAACACACTCCTAGAGTCTGAATAGATGATAGACTGTTGAGTCAGTGATTGGCTTTAACTATGAAATTGTGAGTGATTGTATCAATGAGAATGAAAAGTGATTGGCCCAATGGAGAAAAGGTAAGGGGCTAAAAAAAGAGCAAAAAAGACTCTTAAAGGCTGCTTGAGTCTGGAGAAGTCGATGATGCCATCAAACTCAGGAATGCTATTATATAGGACCTGTGAGCTACTACTGTGCATCTCTACTGAATAAACAAAACAACTTGGAAAAAGTGAAGTGAGCTAGCATCAGGAACAATATGGGTGCTGCAACTATGTGATATGGGTCTGTTCAGAGGGAAGGACCAGACCCCCAGGGGAACTGGTTTCCCAAAGGACAAGACCAAAATATATTTGTTTCCCTTAGCTCTTTACCTCAGAGTGACTTCCAAACCCCCAGTCTCCCATTGTACCTGTCCCGGAGTCTTGGCAGCTGGCCTTTGATGTAGTTTTGCAAAGTCAATGCCATCTCCTCTTGCAGCTGGTCAATCTTTTCTCTCTGGGTAACCCCAAGCCGGTCTGTAGGATAGGGAGATAAGATGTACAAGGGTGGTGGTGCAAGTAGGAAAGAGTGAGCCTGCACAGTGCCCAAGGAGGCAAAGGCTGAGGCCGACCCATTCTGTAGGTTTAAAGGTTAGAAGGCTGGGGATGGACAGTTTCAAGGAGCTGGGAGTTTGGTTAGAGGTGGAGGAACAAACGCTTCCAGGTTTTAGTGGATGCTCACCTGGAGAGAAAAGGGCCACAGCAGCCATAAGCACATACTCAGGCTCCTGGAGCTGCAGTCGCCTCAGTGTTCCATGGAAACGAAAGAGCAAGTCCATAAACTCTTCCTGGAAGCCCACTATGGGAGAGACTATGATTAGGGGTCCTTCAGGTCACCAGGCTACCTACTAGACCACGAGGACACATGCCCTTTGCTACTCTAGCCCTCTCTCACCATGGAGTCCATCTTCCATTGTGTAGCGAAGAGGTCCACAGAGGAAATTTTGTGTTTGGAGACAGAAAGTAGGATTGAGTGCAATGTGACAGATTTCTATAGCTGCACCTTTGAGAAGGGAGATCTGGTCTTCCAAGGGCAGGGACCTGAGAGAAACAAGAAATAAGGGCATTTTAGATTTTTAGCCTGAACCTTAAAAATGAGAGAAGCTCCAACTCCTGACTGAAACATTTACAAACAAACTGGGAATTTAAGGCTGGTGCTTGATAAAGGTTGAGGGATGGGTTGATCTGGTCAATAACTTTTTAGGGGGTGGGGAGAGTATATTTTCTGGAGTATTTTCTTCCTAAAAGGGGAGGCCACTCACCGGAAAGGGGGCAGATCCTTGGTGAACTTGATGATTTGCTGTATCATGAACGTGCTGATATCTGCAAAGTGCTTGAGCAATGGCAACGAAGGGGCCAGGGAGGATGAGGGTTGGTGATGGATAAACAAATGAGCTGGAGGCTGCAAAGACCAGAACATTAGGCCTTGGTCCTAAGGAATCTCCAGCTTTATCTAGGGACGGTTCTGGAGAAGTTCTCTATGTGAGATTGGTGCTTGGCATACAGGCTCCTCTCCTTCAGGTTAGCTTCCTTAGACAACCCCCTCTTTAGCCACATTTCAGCTTAAATCTTGCAAATACTTACACTGAACCTCACGAACTGGTCAAACATGGTCCCCACGTGGCGAGTGTGGGCATTTAGGAGTGTCTGGACCAGCTCCTTCTGCTCCTTACTCAGCTCAGTACGTGTTTGCTCTGCCCGCTGCTGGGCCTGCTTTGCCCGCCGCAATGCTAGGGCTTCTGCTGACAAGATCACTGTGCCAGGCAAAAAATGTGACAAAGCCATGACATACGACAGAGTACACTTCTCTCTGCCAGCCCTGAACCTGGGGTCACTCAGTCACCCTCTACAAGGGAGACTTGGAGGGTTTCTGGGGCTTCCTTGGCCTCTACTACAGCCCTCAAAGCTCTTGACAGCAGGGAATCCTGTACTCTCAGCCACCTATGAGTCACTCCACCAGAGTGCAACACCAGGAAGGAGGAAAGGAAGGGCAGAGAGAAAAGTAGGAAAATTGTAATATGATTGTCCTGTGGGGTAGGATGTGGAAGGGGAAGAGATCTCACCCCTACCTTCACCTCCAGAGTTTACATTCCAGGCTTACTGGGCTACCAAAAAAGTACTTAAAATATATTTTTTTTCCATGATTTTGAATATATTTTTCCATGGGAGTTTGTTTGCCAATGAGCTTACAGTAACAATTTATGAGACTGATTAAAAAAAAATAAAAGCTGTAGTAAGAATATATGTTGTTGTTAGGTGCCATCCAGTCAACCAGCATTCATAGTGACCCCGTGAAACCCAGATCTGACCTTTGCCCTGTCCCACACCATCCTCATGATCTCGGTCATGCTCAAACCCATTGTAGTAGTCATTGTAGTAGTCACTATGTCAATATATCTTGTTGAGGGTCTTCCTCTTTTTTGCTGATGTTTCCCGGCATAATGTCTTTTTTCAAGGACTAGCTTTTCCTGAAAATAATGCCCAAAGTAAGCGAAGCCAAGTTTTACTGTCCTTGTCTCTAAGGAGGACTCTTGTTGCACTTCTTTCAAGCAGATTTGCTTACTATTTTGGCACGATGCTATCTATATTCAGTACTCATCAGTTACATGTGTGTATACACACGTTTTTGTTGTATACTGTTGGGTTGGAACAAACTCATAACTAATCCTTCAGTGGGTTTTCAGAGGCAGTAAATTGCACAGGAGGAGACTGAACAAGAGTTCTGTGTGTGTGTGCACGCGCGCATATGTGTGTGTGTGTGTGTGGTTGTGTATGTATCAAGGAACTCTAGTGGCTAGAGGTAAGGAGATGCACTATCAACCATGTTCAAAGGCACATGGTTTGAATCTACTAGCTGCTGTGCAGAAGAAAGATAGGCAATCTTCTTCTGTGAGATTTGGAGCCCATGAAAAATCCATTGGAGGATCAGCTATGCATTGGTTATGACTTGATGGCACATAATAGCAATAACTAAGACGTGTGTGTGTGTGTGTGTGTGTGTGTGTGTGTGTGTATGTATGTGAGAGAAAGAAAGTTTTTGCTGTTGAGTCAGAACTCATAGCTGAACCTCCAGCAGGTTTCCAAAGCTTTAAATTGCATAGGCGCGTGTGTGCACCTTATTTTGTAGCTGTACATGCAATTTGTATACAGCTACAGACCTGCACACATACATATAGATGTAGCTGGTTGAGAACTGTGCATGTGTGTATGCAATGACAAGCACAGGACTAGGAAACAGCAATACTGCAAGATACTGGTCAGCTGGTTCTTCATCCATTATTGGCTATACTTGTTCCCCTCAATTGAGCTTGACTATGTAAACAATTTGAGATTGTCTCTGACCCTACCAGAGACTCATCTAGACATCAGCAGCCAGTGTGCCTTGGATGGAACCCTTCTGGTACATTGTTTTTAGTTCTTTCTGTATTTTGTTTCTCATTTTAAAGTCTTCCATTGTCAGATCATTCCACTTATCAGTCCAACAAAAAAGCTGAATGTAACAGTTTGTAAATATTCTCCCCCCTCCCCTTGCTTTCTTAATGAAGCATTCCACTTTGCTTTGCAGTCCCCACCACTTGAACTTGGTGATCACCAGCTTCCAGGAACACATCTGAAGGTGGTTTAAGTGCTTGCCAGCTCTTTCTTTTTGGCTAAGTCCCAAAGGACTTTGGGTCTTTATTCACTGGAATAAAGCTGGGTCTTCATCAGCTTTATAGTCTACTGCTTCAGTATCTACCTTGACCATTTCAGCATTTTTACATGTATTAGAATCTAAATTCTGTGCATTTTGTAATGTCCCTGAATCTGATTTGTGCCAAGTTTCAATATTAGTGAAGAAATTGACATTTACATAGTCATTTGCTGCAGTTTTTCTGCAGTAGGGGTATATGTTCCAGACTTTTTCATAAAACACCAGAATGTCCTGTAGGTGATAACTTTTGTGTATGTACTGTCCTTTCTTTCCATCCTTATAAAGTTTATTTTTTAAAAATTATTTCAGTTCCTTCTGCATGACCAGTTTCATTCTTTTTAAAAAAAATATTATTATTTTTTTTGTGTGTACCATATAGTCAGATCTGACTGGTACAGGAGGCGATTGTCCCTCCTTTTCCAGGAGAGAACCTTGTGGATTCAAACGACGTACCTCTGGGATTGCAGTGCAGCTCCTTGCCACTAGGCCACCAGAACTCCCACTAGTTTCATTCTTACTTGCTTCTGCAGCAGAGTAAGGCTGCCCAACATGATGCTTCTAAATCCAGGCTCACTCTCACTGCCATGGGGTGGAACCTACTCACAGCCGATCCTCCTCCGTAAGTGTCAGAGGAGCTACATGCTTTGTCTCCCTTGGAGATACTGGTGGATTCTTTGTGTTAGCAGCACAATCCCCTATGAACTACACCACCAGAGCTCCCCTACTCCAGAATAAAAAAAACAAACAAACCAAACCACATGAAATTCCTTAGTCAGCATTATCTGTCCAGAACCCCCTCATAGCTGTCACTGCTGGCACTTTCAGGAGAAATCGTAATATCTAAAATAATACCCTACATTTACACAACACTATAATTTCAGTAATTCCTAGAGTAGATCTCCCTGGATGAAACAAGTTCGTGAGTAGATAGGACAGGTATTTTCTGTAGTTCTCAGGAAAATAAACAGGCTTAGAAAGATTTCAGGGACAGTTTTAAGGTCACAAAAACGTAAGTGAGATAGCTTGAATTCAATCCAAGTTCTTACGACTTCCATTATTTCTTTTCTATGGCTCCACATTAAAAAGTAGTGTGATGTCAGGGAGGGAAACAAGAGCTTATGAGTCAAACAGACCAGAGTTTGAATATAGGCTCATAACTTTCTAGCAGAATGAACTTAGGTATGTTAACTTCTGCAAGCTCCAGTTACCTTGTTTGTTGAGAGCATAGCATAGTTGTTGGGCACAAAGGAAGGATGAAAGAAATTAACTCTGTAATGATTGTATACCTATTAGGTGACAGACACTATGCTCAGAAGACAGAATGGGAAAAGCAAGCCCTATAAATGGGAAAAACATTGCAGAGAGAGAGAGAATAGAAGAGCAAGTGCAAGAGTCATGGGGAAGGGAGCTTTAGTGGCCTAGTGGCAAGAAGCTGCACTGCAATCCCAGAGGTATGCAGTTCGAATCCACCAGATTCTCTGCTGGAGAAGCAGGGGCAATCTCCTATACTAGTTAGATCCAATTTGATGGTACACATAATAATAATAATAGTAAAAATAAAATATTTATTTTAAAAAAAAGGTCCTGGGGAAGAGTGTGCTTAGGGGATTTCAGGATGTAATAATGGGAGTCAGTGAGGCTGGAATGAATTAAACAGGGGAGAAAGAATAAGGAATAAATTCTGAGAGATGGAATGGGATGGAGAGCTGGGTCACAGAGGCCTTGAAATCACATACCGTAAGAGATAGAAAGCCATTGGAAGTTTTGAGCAGAATAGGAACATACCGGACTTGTTTAAAAAAGTTTACTATGGTTGCTACATAGTGAGTATACTGACATAAGAAAGGGCAAAGCGGAGATAAAATCAGTGAATTTTGGTGATGGCAGGAGCTGCTTACTGTCCTTCCTCATGCCAGCATTTAGACACTTCTGCATCCTGCAGGCTGGGCAGTGGCGCCTCTGGGCCTTGCTGACCTCACAGTTTCCAGCGAAGGGGCAGGTGGGAGCAGTCCTTTTACTGGCCGTTCGTCTATGAGAGATGGAAGCATTGTTAGGGATTTGGATAGCACTAAGCAGGCCGGTGGTTAAGCATGGGCCTGGAATGACCTAAAAGACTTGGGAATCTGGGTTCTTCACAAGAGTCCTCAAGAGTGGTTCAAGCATTTCCACTGGGGCACAGTTGACATAATTCTTAGTTGCATGTTTGGTAAGTAGTAGGTGCCTGATAAGTACTCTTGACTAATGGGCATATCTGTAGGAAAAATGCCAGCCTTCTCTGCGTTCCACCACCTGTTTGTATAGTGTTGGGGCTGGCAAGATATATGACATGTTAGACACAGAGCAATTAGGCTCTAGGATACAAAAATAAATATTTGGGCAAGCTAAGGCATGTTTCAGGGCCCAAGGCTCACTGACAGGCAAGTTGAGGTGTTGTTTCTATTGAGGAGAAGGCTCTCACCTGAAAAAACCCTTACAGCCCTCACAGGTCAGGGCATGGAAGTGATAACCTGTGGCTCGGTCACCACATACCATACAGTCTCTTGGCTCATCTCCATTGGACATGGTTTCAATGGATTGGAGTAGTCCTCACAGACTCCTGAATGTGAGAAGGGTTAGCAGTCAGCTCTGCACTACCCTTGGCATTTTTCTTCCTTCTGCAGAACCTCTTCCCAAACCTGGCCCAGGTCTGACCCACAGTATTACCTCTAGTTTATTGCTTTTATTTTCTGACCCCCAGTCGATTTCCTACCTGCTCTTCTTAGGCAGCACGTCACCTTCAGGTCAAGGCTTTGGCATGAAATGTCTCTTCTCAACATCTCACCCTGGCCCCGATTTCCCTCTGATCTCAGGAGCTGCCAGTGTTTAGAGGGATTATGGCCCTCAATACCTGGGAAACAAGAGACGTCTGTTGTGGTGGTTTTCAATCACTCTCCATGACTATCTAGACTGCACACAGACTCTGGACCCAGGGCAAAGGTTTGAGATGGGGGTAGGGGAGGTTTTCCCAGCATACACATGGTGTTGCTGGTTGCTGGCACATGAGAAAGAACATTGATGGTGGGAGCCTCATGATTCCTTAGAAGCTGCCCTTTTTCAGACGCATTGCCGAGCTTCAAGTCGAGCTTTGCAGACTCCTCTGTATGAAGATCCCAGTTAAGCTGAGAAAAGAGAAGGAAGGACATAGATAGTGTGTATAAATTATGCCAATAGTGAACAAACAGAAATAATTGTACAAGGCTCCCAAATGAAAAGTTTGTAAAAACACAGACTGATAAAGAAAGAGACTGAGGTCTAACTAGTAGCCTTTGTAAAGAACAAGAGGAAATAAATCCCACATACCAACTGAGGAAGGTTAAGAACTAAGGCAGAGTTGTTGTTATGTGCTGTCAAGTCAACTACAACTCACAGCAACTCTGTGAAAAATAGCTCTGAACGTTGCCCTGTTCTAAGCCAATCTCACTATCTCTGACACACTTGACTCCATTGCCGCAGTTATTGTGTTAACCTCTCATCCAGGTCTTCCTCTCCTGTCCTTTCCCTCCACTCTTCCAAGCACGAAGTCCTCTTCCAAGAACTGATCTCTCTAGCATTGTACCCACAGTATGTGAGACAGCTTCAAAATCTTTGCCTCCAAGGAGCAACCTGATTTCACCCTCTAGGAGAGACCTGTTTGTTCTCTTGGTAGTCCATGGTATGTTCAATACTTCTGTCCAGCATCACAACTTAAAGGTATCAATTCTTCTTCTGTCATTCTTATTCATTGTCCAGCTATGGGATACATTGCAAGCAATTGAGAAGACCATGGATTGGATCAGATGCACCTTAGTCTCTAAAGAGAGACTGGAGAGATCCTTGACAGCAGATTTTCCCACTGTAACTCGTCTTTTGATTTCCTAACTGCTGGTGCCTATTTTGGATCCAAACAAGTTGAAATCATGAATAATTTTAATCTTTTATCCATCTATCATGATGCTGCCTATTGGCCCACTGGTAAGAAGTTTTGTTTTTTTTGCTATTGAGATGCAATCCATATTGAAGGCTGCAGTGCTTGATCTTCTGCAGAGAATGCTTCAAGTCTTCCTCAGTTTCTGTGAGCAAGGTTGTGTCATCTGCATAAAGCAAATTGTTGAAGAGTCTCCTTTCAATCCTGATGCCATGAGGGAGCTCTGGTGGCGTAGTGGCAAAAAGCTGCACTTCAATCCCAAACCTGATGCCACATTCTTCTTCATAAAGTTCAGCCTCTCAAAAGATCTGTTTAGCATATAGATTGAAGAGCTATAGATAAAGGATACATTCTTTATTAATTTTTTTTTTTACCACAACAAGATAAAGGTAAACAACCAATGGAAAAATGGGCACAGGATATGAACAGACACTTCACCAAAGAAGACATTCAGATGGCTAACAAGCACATGAAGAAATGTTCAAAATCCCTAGCTCTAAGAGAGATGCAAATCAAAACAACTATGAGATAACATCTCACCC